GTAATTCTGATGGAGCCAGACAAAAACAAGACCACTCCATAACTGTATTTGAATACAGACAAAAACATGAGCTCTGGCCAGGCCACAGAATGCCATACATTCCCCACTCGTCTATCACCTTTATCAAGTGCAGCTTTCCTCTATCCATCCCTTGCTCCTTCTGGCTAAGATTTATTAAGATATCCCACCACAGAATTGCTCTCATTTCCTGACAACATCCAAATTCAGGGCAAAGTTCATTTCCTTATACCATCCTTCAAATGATAGCACACGAGCCCAAGCACTCCTGGTCCTCCTCCTCCGTGGTCCCCTCCCTGCAATCCCCGACTATGTGTTCTCCTTGTCACTGTGTGTAAGAAACCCAACTCGTCAGCCATGGGTGCTGGTGAGGGGTCAGGGACCAGGCTCAGGAGCGACATCTTCAAGAAGATAGAGCGCATACAGTGTGACATGTGTCTTAACATCCTGAGGGAAAGTGTGTGTAACTGGAGACTGGTCTGGGCTGACATAATAGTAAGTACACAGAAAAAATGCAAGTGATAAAAACAGGATGCTTCTAAATTCTTGAAAGCAATATTTTATAAGGAAAGACAATTAAATCATAAGATTCTGACATGCCTAAAGTTTATAAGTCTATAACAATGCAAACCCCCTAACTTCTTAACTAACCGAGATGATGGCCTGAGCGTACTGGGTGTGTGGAGGGACAAGACATGTGGGCTGGGGATTTAGCTTAGTGGCATAAGCGCCTGCCTTGCAAGTGCGGGGTTGTGAGTTCAATCCCTGGTACCTTATAAAAAATAAATAAAAAAAATGTGTGCAGGGTAAACAGGGGTCAAAAAGAGAGGCTGATCCTCATCTTTTATAGTGAAAAGTATGAAGATCAATTCTACAACTGGACACTCTAGTGGAAGCATTAGAAACATGTAGCACAGTGTATGAAGAGATTCTGAACTAAAAGCTTAAGGAGCAGCATTTGATGAGGAGGAGGATATGATCAGAAGTAGCAAATACATGGGGGGAACCTCTCTTTTCATGGCCACGGGAACATTACTCATCATCACAGAGCTCAGAATCTTTGCTAGGTGGTGGCTGCTGAGAGTCACCGCCAAGTGAGTGGAGCGGGGGTGAACCAGTTGCCTTGATCAGGGTATGATGCATTTGTGATTCTGCTCACTTCTTTCATCCTGGGCGGTCATCTGAAAAGATCCACTGAATGTCTTCTCGGTGAATGACACTTGGAGACGTCACTTAAGCGGATTAGCCAATGCAGAATGGATCAGCCGTGGAAGGGACAGGTCCTGAGAGAAGTGGCCGGCAGTTCCAGTCATGCAGGGAATGACAGCAGACACGCGAGGCAAGGCTGAGCCTCCTCGACAGGGATGACTGTGAGGTCCTCTCCACATGCATAAGATAGGCAGCTTTGTAACCTTAACCTAGCTGTAGAATTTTCTTTAGCCTTCCAAGAGGTTCATTTGCATAAAGGGAGGAGAGTGATATTTACTGGGTTCATACTTAGACGTTTGTAATCACTTTTACTCCCTGTAATAAGTCTGGCTCAAAGGTTTGGAAAACACCTAACACAGGAAGAGTTCAGCGGATCCAGGAATTCAGCCTGACTGCCTCAAAGATGGAGGTCTCTTCAGGGCAGAGTGTGGGTGCAACAGCCTGGAGCACTGGGAGGAGCCACGAAGGGCAAAAATGCTGACCCTCACTTAGAGAGAAGAGAGACGGAATCCCTGGAAAACTACAAGAAAAATCACAACGCATGCATCATAATCATATCACATGAAATATGTTTATTAGGGGGTACTGAGGGTGCTGTTGCTGTGGTCACAGTGTTGGACCTTCTCTTCTGTTTAGAAAGAGCATGAAACATGGTGGTCAAAGAACAGACACTCTGGGGCCACTTTCTTAAAATGTAGACAGTAGGTTTATTTCCCTTTGGTGACACAGGGAAGTGGGGGAGAGCCATGTTTAAATGCAGAAGGGCTCTGCAGTGCCGTGAATTATTTCATGTGACTGTGATGTCCCTGGTTCCAGCGCAGCCTGCCAACCCCCAGGCCATTAACAGTCTTGATGGTTTTGCTGAAGCCAGCTAAGTCCCTGGGCCTGAGGGGAGCCCACATTCCACCTGCTTGGCCTGGACTTGGCCAATGCCCTGGGAGGGCAAAGGCCACCCATCTGTGCCCAGCAGGAAGTGGAATTCTCTCCCACAGCTCTCATATGCCTTTTAAAATGTATGCTCTCTGTTAGCTTATTTTTCTAGGTGTTCTAGCAGGAAGTGTGCTCCACTGCAGTATGTAATAGTTTTAACTAGAAGAGGAACAGCAGAATTACGTTTGGTAGGAGGTTTATGTGTCTCTTGTCACTTAATCTACATTTCCTGGTAAAGGTGAATTTAAGTCATTCTAGTGTCTGCCATCTTTTGGAACCAATTTTGCGACTTTATCAGTGTAAAGCCATTTTTGAGATCTGTAAGAAGTACGACTCCAGGTGCCAAATTATCCTGCTGCTTCTATCCAGATGCTGTTACTCTTCACTTCTAAGGAGAATATTGAGTCACTGTTAGAAATGCATTTAACAGATTCACCTTTTTAACCAAAATCATCAAAACTGGTTAATAATGGTGATAATATTTTTTAATACTATTGTTTAAAGAAATCTTACTGAGTGGCAGTTTGGTCAATAATCTGTGAGTGTTTCATCAATACAAGCAATATTGGTGGGTATGGGAGACTCCTGCTCATCACCTTTCTGTTCCTAGAGATGCTGCGGACACACATTATACTTTCTGCTTCCTGTCAGTCTCACCAGGACCTGGTGGGGGCACTGGCTCTGTGTCCCCCACAGTCCAACTTAACATCCTACCGTGCTGGGCTTGGGGCTAAGATGGAGCAGCTTAACCAATGTTTCCAACAGGAACAGCTTGGAAAGTTGATTAAAAATATGTTGGAAACCATTCAAGTTAAGTCTTCAGAGGCTTTAGCTCTGTCCCAGAAGTAGCAGAAGTACTAGTTACCCTGGACAGTGCTGAGTCGAGGGTTACCCCTCGGTGATAACCACACAGTGACTAGAAAAGAGAATGCAGATCCAAACAGTGCACATCAAAAATGGCGAAAGCAGACAACATAAAACAGGTTACCCCAAAAGAAGGAAATGTGGGAGAGAAAATGAAAATATGAGATGAGACAAGGAGAAATCAATGAAACTGTCACAGATACATGCTAAAGTACCTGCATTACAGTAAACGTTAGTTTTTGGACTAAATAGAGGAATTGAATGGCAGGACAGGAGACACTTCTAAACAATGGAAGCAAAAAGAATGAAACCAGAGAGGAGGAAAGGAAACATGGTGCGAAATGTAACCAAACCAACAGAACAAAACCAGTATAACTGACATCACTGCATTGATAGCAGATCAAGTCAACTTTTAAAGCCAAAAGAGTTACCAGAGTTAAAGAGATTGTAGAGAGCTAAAAATTAGCCTACCTGTTGGAATTGTAGTAAAATTATTCAAAGTATGTAAGAAGAATAAATAGCTGCCTTTTCCTTTGCAAATGAATAAAAACATCACATTTTATCTCCTTTGCTCAAGATAGGAAATGAAAAAAACAAAATAAAGATGATGCAAGTCACCTGACGGCAGGACCAAGTTCCAGCTGTTTCCGACAGGCAGCAAGCTTTGCACGGGGGCAAAGCTGTGCAAGGTTGATGTTTAGGTTAGGATAGGCTGAGCTGTGCTGGAGAAACAAGCAGCCCCAATACCGCAGTTCTGGCCCACAAGAGCTATTTCTTACAGATGGAGACCATGCGCTGAGGCTAAGGGTGACGAGGGCTCCTGACTGCCTGCATCTCAGCTCCTCCACGTCGCCACAAGCCGCCACAGTCACGGGGGAAGGGGAAAGGAGCTTGAGGCTGGCAGGCACGCTGGCTGAGTGACACATCGCTCCTGTCGCTGGTTGGAGCTGGGTACCGGTCCCTGCTCAGTGGCAGTGGACACGAGGAAGCTTCTACCTGCCACGTGTGTAGGGAGCAGAACTAGGCATGAGTCAGGGGGGGACGGGTCCATCACAGGTGGAAATGGTTTACGCTTTGGAGCCCTGGAGTGTGATATCCTGAAGAGGGTGAGTGGCCTTCTACGAACTCAGCTGCTGTCTCCTTTCTTCACCAAAGCAAGTGATGACCCAGGCTCCAGTACAAGGATGCAGCCCCCTTAGGGTCTCCTGGCCTTCCTAGTGCTGGTCACTTAGCAAAGGGAGCTCTCTTGGAGAGACGGGATGCTGGGACCCCAGGGGTGCAGCCCGTACTGGGAGCACCGAGGCAGTAAGAAGAGGCTGTTCTCTTAGGTGCCTTGTGATTGGAGCCCAACGCTGAGCCTGCACACCACCCAGGCGGCCTGGTGGGTCCAGGGTTCAGTGTGGGGGAAGCCTCCTGACCACTGACATTTACATCATGATTCCATGTTCGTCCTTCATTGTCCTGGGTGCTGTGACACTGTGCTGGATCTGACTCTGTGTGTGTGTGTGGTGGGGTGGGGGCTGGGGGTTAATCCTTTGCACTGAGCTACATCCCCAGCCCTTTTTATTTTTATTTTGAGGCAAGCTCTTGCTAAGTTGCCTAGGCAAGACTCAAACTTTCAATCCTCCTGTTCAGCCTCCCAGAGTAATGGGATTCCAGTTGGACCTCACTTAACTGAGGAAGACAGTGATGCCTTTGGTCCTGACCCACAGTGGACCCTCCCCTTCATCCAGAGCTGGACGGCCCGTGTCCTTTCCTGGCCAGACTGAGGCCTGATCCCACCAAGGCTCTCTGTAGCCTTGAGCTAAAAAAAGATCGGAAGACATTATAAGACTATAAACTCTACAGTAGCTTGGATGCATTGGAAAGGTGCCTTTGCACTTATTTTCCTTTTCTGCCATAGCAAAAAGAGCTTTCTGAAATGTTTTTACTCCCAGAGACAGCACTGAGCCGCAGTCAGGCGCGGCTCCGGCACCCACCTCCAACAGCAGCCTCTGATGCAAGGCCTGAGTATGCGCAAGGGCTTCGCAGGACATTTTCAGGAGGAGCTCTGTCTTTTTCAGATTCCGGAAATCCCGATCCTTCTCTCTCTGCTTGTGAGAAAGCTCATCGTGGTAGTTCTGCTTGTCGATGAGACTGTTTCGTAAACTGAGGTCCAAGATCCCTCTGTCCAGGTACAGGGAGAAAATGAAAGTGACATGTTATCAGCTGTCCCTGTGTCTCTCAAAGCTTTGTCAGAGGCATGCTGGATGCAGAAACCACCCTTGGGTCAGACTCGTCATCATAAATGATGCCAAAAGCAATCATTTTCATAAGATGGTATTATTTAGAGCTGTATTCTGACACAATCCTCAAATGTATAACAAACTGCTATAATCCCAGCACTCAGGAAGCTGAGGCAGGAGGATCATTGTGAACTGAGACAGGCCTGGGCTACAAAGTGAGCTCAAGGTCAGCCTGAACTGCATAGCGAGGTTTGTCTCAAAAAGAGAAAAAAAACAAAAACAAAACAGTTAACCAACTAAGCAAAAAAAAAAAAAAAACCCAAAATAAGCAAATAAAACAAAATAAACACACAAAATCAGAAAAAACAAAAAATGAATTGGCAGCGATAGATGCCCGAGGCTCCCTAAAATTTATTTGAAAGAAATCAGGAGGGCTGGGGTGGGGTGTAGTTCAGTGGTAGAGCACTTGCCTCTAGGTTGGGTCCTGTCCCCAGAATTGGAACAACAATAACAACAAAAGTAACAAATAAAATTCCCCTGGGGAACCGCCCCAAATCACCCCACAGGGAAAACGTCACCAGAAATCCATCATTTGTTGGTGGAATCCCTAAACTACACAGCACCCTCCACGGGTTTAACTTCCCAGAGGTGTATTTTTAGCAACCTGTCACACACGATGGACTTTGCCCTTAAAAGTTGGTCACAGGGAACTGAGGAGCCTTATAAATAAAAGGATGGAAAAGTTACTTCGAAACACTTTGATAACATAGTTCTAATTAAAGGAAAGGCCGAACTAAAATTCTACAAAATTACATTGAATCGAATCAGCACAAGACAAGACGAGAGCATGCTTTGAATCCTCAAACATACATCAAAGACAACGGCAGACAACAGCACTCGCGTAAGGACCACCAACCTCTCGGTCAGCGACGAGGCCTCATTCTCCTGGGTCAGCTCCAGCAGCCGGACCAGATGGTGGTACTCGCGCTCCCTGACCTCCAGTAAGGCCCGCTTGCCTTCCACCTCCTTCACCACGTCCTCCTTCTCTTCCACCAGAACGCTGACTTTGCTCTCCACCTTCTTGAGGGAGTTGTTTAGCTCTTTGACTTCATATTCCAAGACAAGTTTCTTTCTTTCCAGTTCTCTGTAGGACACACACACACACGCACACACACACACGCAGGTGCTTTATTCTGTGCTGTGTTTAAAACCAGGCAGAAGAACTAGTTGCAGATTCAGGGGTCTCAGGTGTGCATAAAGACCGCAGGGCATGGAGGCACCTTCCCTGAGTGGCCTGGGGCAGGGATGTCCCTGTGTCCCCCTCCCTCTCCAGTCCCCGAGAGCTGCCACCTGTGCCATTCTACCCTGGCTCTGACCAGCTTCCTGGAAGGGACCTGAATTTCTCAACTTTGGTCCTTGCAAGCGGTGATTTTAGAACAGTTACTGCTTTGTCTTACCTCTCTTCTAAGATCAGTCACCAGAGCCCTCATTTCCCCAGAGTATTTGTCATCGTCACTTATGTTATTGTTTCTGGCTCCTGAAACCCTGACAGTCTCTTTGGTGACCCCTGTATCCAGATCCGCTCTGCATATCTGAGGGTGTTTGTCGTACAGGAACAGGTAGCAAAGTGGGGGCGTTAATGGCCCTTTGAGCTGCCAGCTGGCTGACGTACTTCTGGATCATGAAGTTCTAATCTAATCCAGTATCCCTAGCTCTGCTAAAGTCAATTAGAGTTCTCTAGAAAGATATGATTTGAAATAAGACATGTATAAGAGTCACGAATCAGAATAATTTGCTGCACTATCTTTCAAAGAACTTAATATGTGAAACCCAGACAGGGCAAAAAGCAGGAAATTGCAATATGAGTTTGAAGTGTCCAGTGCTTAGTCCTCAGGGAGGGGGTTAGAAAGAAAAATATTAAAGCATACACTTTTTTGCGTGTCATTTTTTCTATCTCTTTTGCAATCTGCATAGGAATGTTTTGATGTTGGACCACTTCATCCTGGAAAAGAAATGCAATCACATTAAATTATACAGTCTCCGATGAGAAGAAATAAGACAAGCAAATTAAACAGGACCGAGAAAGGAGCTAGAGTACGTAGAACCTTTAGATTCCACTCTGCGTGCTTATAAGACCTTCTAAAAGAGCTGTGCTTCACTGCATCTGACCCCCACTAGGGGGGCCTCGGTTCAGATTCCCCTGGGGAGGGACTTCTCTCTCCTCTGCTACCAGGATTGGCTGCTACCACCTCATGTCTTCCAGGAAGTAATCATCTTTGTGACATTTATTTCTTTTTTTTTTGGTAGTGGGAATTGAACTCAGGACCTTGCACTTGCCAAACAGACACTGTGCCACTGACCTACATCCCCTGCCACAATATTTATCTCCTAATATCAAAAACCATTTGGTGAAATCTGGAGAGGCCCATTCCCCAGGGGCAGAGCTATAAAATGGCATGAAACTATTTATCAAGAAGTCTTTTGTGAATTCCCAGAGTGCAGGCTCAGTTTTCTAGGCTCCATGACAAGGCAGATAGCTCCTCTCGTCAAGCCTAAGTAGGAGCGAACCTTTGCATTTTTATGGCCCTGCAGGCACTCTGGGTGAGCATTCATGGTAAGCAGCACACCTTCAGGACAACCTGGTGCTCCAACACCTCTTCCAGTTCCTTCTGCTCCTTGACCAGTTGCTTTTGCTTAGAGGTCAAATCTTCCCGCAAGTTTTTAATTTCTAATTTCTTCTGCATGATTTCCTTGCGTAATTCTTCAGTGCTTTCTCTCAGCAGTTTCATCTTCTTCTCCATTTCCTTTAAAATTGTGAAAATTATCAGGCTGTATAGTTGAAGCAAATGTTTTTCTACCTTAAAGAACTAAACTGCAAATTACTATGTTCGTTATTTTTTCTTTGAGGCTCATGAATGTTTTCTCACAGAGCTAAAGGCAGCTTCTGATGTTAGACTTGACTTATATTTTGGAAGTCCTGTTTTGTACTTTAAACATTTCCTCTTTTTGAATTAAACTTTTATTTCATAACAAAGGGTATTAATGAAAATGTCTATTGTGTTTTCTCCCGGGCTTGTGGTTTGTTGACATAAGAGGCAAATAATCTCGGACTCCCTAGATGATGGTTAACTGGAGTGACAGAAACTAAAGATAAAGGGGTTCACATCTGCAGTGTCCCACACTTTTCTCCCTCAACCACAATGCCCTTTTGTTATCAATATTGCTTCTCTAGCTTCTGCATATTCTTTCCAAATGCTGTGTGCCTCGGACTCCTAGGAGATCCTGCTTCTCGTCGAATGCTCTGGAAAGGAGTTTATAGGAGCAAAGCTTTCTGCTCAGAAAGCCCGCGGGGTGCTATGGGCCCTGAGGATGGATCTGCTTGGCCTGAGGTGGGGTGGCTGCATGGCCCCTCTCCTGTCACTGCTGGGAGAGAGTCGCTGTAGTCCCCTACGATCTGGAGCTACAGTGCAAGGCATTGTTTCCCCTAAAAATCTGTTACAAATGGCGATTGGATGAACTTAGAATTAATAGTGTTTTACTTTAATAAACAGCTTGTTTTTGCGTGTGTGTGCATGTGTATGTGAGAGTTGGCCATGAAATTAAATGATGAACAGCATTTTTTAAAAATGTAAGCATTCAGAAAGTGGAAGCAAAGCAAAGTACAATGACCTTCTATTTACTCTTTGTGGTGTACGGCAAAAAGGGCCACGGTTTCCCCGGCCCTGGGATAGCCTGCTCTGTGCTGTCGTGGCCGTTCTTTCCACAGATAAAGGCCCATTCCTCTCCATCCTGATTCCACATCTGACCATGGAGACTGCTCTGACCAACGAGAGAGCATCAGAAAGTTCCTCGGGTGGAGATTTGCCCTCTCTTGAGGCTGGAAGCCCTCTCAGGATGGGAAGTGTGGTCAGCTAGTGAAGTGTGGTCTTAGACCAGCTGGCCTGTGGCTTCCTGGATCACTCAGCCCCAGGGGAGCAGCTGAGCCCAGAAGGACTCAGAACTGTGGAGAAGGAGGAAGACTGTTGTTCCAACCCTCTCAATCTGGGGATGGCTCGTTATGCAGGAACACATAACCAAAGTGCTCTTTATTAAAATTGCTTGTCATAACAAGGGATCTCCAGAAAGCTCTAAGGGCAACAGCTGCAGGGTAATAATGCTTTTAGTCATGCTCTTAAGGGCCAACCACGGAGCACTTTTTTTTCTTCTAGAAACAAAGCAGATACTGTACCCCCAAACAGTGTAAAGGTGATGCCAGGGCGCTAAATCCTCTGACAGGTGCCACCCACATTCCCTCTAGAGGGTAGGTATTCCTTCCAGGGCCATCAACAGTTAGCACTCCTGGTCTTTCGGGGTGTTTGTGGTGACAAAGATTATTATTATTATTTTTAAAAAGAATGCTTGGCTCTGCCCGCATCTAACAACTTTGGATCATTTAATACTTACTCCTGGCTTAGGTATCTTCTCAAATTCCTTCAATATGAGGTTCTTTTCTTCCATTAAGCTGCCAAAAAAAAAAAAAAAAAAAAAACCCAATCAAATGTGTGATGAAAGCCAAAAGAATGGGCTCTTTCTATGTGAATATTTGCCTACTTTCTCTTCTCCCTGGGCCGCACCAGGTGCGTCTGTGGGGTCTGGGGTCCGTTCTTTAGGGTGACTTTCCTGACTCCCCCAGGCCTGTTTTGGGGCTTGCTCCTCCTGGGCACCCTGCACACCAGGTCCACACAGGTGGTAGAGCGGTTATCTCAGCACAGACACAGCGTGGGAAGCATGGGCTCCCTGCACGCACCCCTCTGCTGCATCCCCTGCTGAGGCCCAGTGCCTGTCCGCATCCCCACCTCCTCCCGGCAGCCCACACCCATTACCACCAACTCTCCAGCTCTGGCCACACTGGCCTCCTTGCTAGACTGATCACTATCCAAGGGCCTGTGCCCTTGGGGGTCCCTCCAGCTGCCTTGGTGTCGCCCCAAGTCTTTGCACAGCTCAGTTTTGATGGGCAGGGCTCTATGGAGGCAGCCATTGTCCTGCTCTAAATTGGCACCAAGGTTCATCACTCTTCCCTGACCACGATTTGCTCCTCTGCATAGTGTTAATCACCCCAGGTGGCACTGTGGCTCTGTTGATTGCTCCCATAGTGTGCCAGTCTGTTTATTGTGATTTCCCTTCCTGGATACACAGGGGTCTGGCCTGTCACAGCCTCCCTTCCATCTGGCTTGGGATTGTGTGTTTGGCTTTTGCCAGGTGAATGCAAGCAGATGCCCTGTCTTTCTAACATGCCGAACACAGAATGGATGGGATCAGTCGGCAAAGACAAGACAGAGACTTCTAGTCCACCTGCACTGCACTCTGCTGTGAGCCGGCAAAGAAATTTATTACATGATTCTCTGACATGTTAAGATCTTTTTCGTGATTGCTGCAGACCTTGAGTCAAAGCCTAACATTTTCTTTTCTTAGCCTCTAAACTGTTTTCAAAAGTTCATTTAACAGTGGTGATTTTTAAAATGGCATCACTAGCTCAGAATTTCCTTGGAGATCCAAAATTTCATTTCAGAAATAAAGAAAGGAAGAACCTCAAAGAATAAGTAAAGGACATATTTTTCTTATGCTTAATTGGCTTGATTTTTAGTTTGTTAAAAATCATAATTACCAACACTGTATTCAATTATGTATACTTATGAATAGAAACATATCTATTTATATTCTGGTGCATAAGAAATGATGATACAAAGGATGAGAGTGTTTATTTTATTTTAAGGTACTTAAATGGTATACAGTAGTGCTATTTGAAAGTTCTTGAAATAGTTGTAAACATATATTTCAAACTCTAAGGCAATCATTAATATAAGATAAAAAGAAACACAATTTATAACACTAAGAAAGGAGAGAAAATAAATCATATAAAATAGTTATTTGTAAGAGAGTCTTTTTTTGACTATGACTTGTACTCTGAATAACATTTTGGTCATTCTTTAAGATAATGGCACACAGTATATTAACTATTGTATTCTCTAATGATTTTATTATAAAAATTTAAATAAAAATATTTACAATAGCACAAAAATGCTTGGTTAAAGCCACAGAAAGCTGCAAAAGAGTGGATGTAAAAATAGGAATAAAAACCCAGGTTGACAAACAGAATACAGAGACAAATATACTAAATATTAACCCAACTATATCAATGATCATGATAAATGTTAGTTAAAAGTTTATCTGAGGAGACAAAAAAGACCCAACTATAGCCTGCCTACAAGAAACTCACTTTAAATGTAATAATACATGTAAAATAAAAATATAGAGACAAATACAGGCCATGCTAGGGATGATCAAAGAGAATAGGAATTGCTGCAGGGGTTAAGTATTCCTAACCTGAAAATCCCAAACCTGGAATGTTCACCATCTGAAACTTTTTGAGCACTGACACTGACAATGTTTAGTTTCAGGTTTGGGATTTTGGGTTAGGGATTCTCAACTGGTAAAGTCTATGCAAATATGCTAAAATCTCTGAAATCTAAAGCACTTCTGGTCCCAAGTATTCAGATAAAGGCTGATGATCTGTATTACTTTCAGAGAGAGTAGAGTTTGGAGCAAGGAAATTTATTCAGGATAAAGGAGGAGAGCATTAACTTAACAATACAGGGATAAACTCTCCAGGAAGACATAATAATCCATAACAGGCATGCACCTAAAAACAGGGTCAAAGTACATGCAGCAAAACTGATAGGACAGCAAGGAGAAAGTGATAAATTCAGTTATAGGAGAAGACTTCACTGCTCCTCTGTTGTTGTACTCTTAGAAAATAGCTTCGTTATATGTGTATTATAACAAAACCTGTAACAGGGGCTTATTGTATGTGTTTTTCTTTTTATGTCTTTGGATGACCTAATTGATATGTTAATCAGTGCTCTTCTCTGTAAAGAATGGTAAAACCTTACCTAATTGATATGTTAACCATTGTTGCCCTCTACAAACTACAGAAGTTGTGCTAAAACAAGCTAACAAGGGTTGTTAATCACTGTTAGGTGCCTCTATTCTCTGCTAAAGAGCTAAAGAAAACTAGGATGGCCCTCTAATTTACACTTGTTTGAAGTAACTTGCTTGTGCAGGGAGATTTGCTTATTAGCATAACCCTTTACCTGACCTTGATCCCCCTCCCCAGAAAGAAAGAAAAACATAACCACCGTTTTCTGTTCTGTATGGCGCCTTATTGCCTCCCCTCTCCCCTTACCTATCTATCTAGGCTAGGCCATAAAGATTTTGGGTTTCTGGTGACCTCTTCCCGACCCGGTGGTGGTCTGTCATAAAATGTGCCTTAGCTTCAAAGAAATTACAGGAAAATGTTGTGGCTTAACCCTAATGCACCAAAAGGGCTAAGTTCCAAATCCTTGTGAAGGCTTAAGTTTTAGCTTATAACTTTTGACTCCTTCCCACCTGTTAGCGTTAACGAGCTGTCCTGAGATAATTAGCTTTCTACTTTCTTTTCCAAATGTTATTGCAGATAATTCTTATCTGCAGGATGGGAGTAACTCAAAAGGCACCAAAGGCTCCCGAGGTTGTCAGAACTAAGTGGACAGCTATACAGTTTCCAGATTCGGGTCAACAAGTTTGATGGCTCTGCAGGTTTCTTTGTTTCTCCCCCCTCCCCCCCGCCCTTTTCCTCCAGCCTCTTTTTTAAAGTCCTCCCTTGAGTCTCTGGCATGCAGTCTCCAAATTGGCTCCCGGAGACTCGTCACCAGGCCTGGTCTAATAAAGCCTTTGCTATCTAAATTTAGGTCTCTTGCTTCCTTAGATTTTATAACGGGGTCCGAGTTATTACATCTGTCAGAAACAGACAGATGTGGAAGACAGAAAATCAGCAAGGAGCTCATGAACTCAGCAGCACCATCCATTGGAGGGGTAAACCAACAACTGTGGAGCAGACTCTGTCTCTGAAAGCCAAACATCGGTGTAAGTTGAGTTTAACAAACATGAGAAACAGAAAATATTGGGAGCCCAGAGAATAGGGACCTACTGTTCCTTTCCCTTGTCAATGAGAATAAAACAAAGAAAGAGAACATTTGTGCCTATTTTATTGCAAGTGTTAGGATGAGATGACATGGTGCTAAAACCAAACAGAAATTGCTCCAATGAGGGTTAGCCTGACTGCTCGAAACAAAATAGCAATAGAATAATAGCAAGTTGCATACAATCGCTTATTTATCTTTTCTTCCAAAGATTCCATTTTGTTAACCAGACTTCTTGAAGAAGTGTAAGAGAAACATTTTCCATTTTTCTTGTTATTCCGCATTTCATGACTACTATGTGCTAAAGAAGTCTTTAGATTTTCCAGATTTGATCAACACAAACTTGACAATACAGAAGACTTATCTGTAAACCAGAAGTCAAGATGCGTTGGAGCAGTAGGTCCACAACTGGATCAAGCAGACCCTACACAGCGGGAGCTCTGAGAACACAGCTCTAGCGGGGTATGCACACCACAGTTTATTTTTACAAAGTCTAATTGCAATGACATACGTTAAGTTTAGTGTCAACATTTATCACATTGATTTTCATATAGTGTAATTATCCCAAGCACAAATCAAAGCTGATTTTTTTAGAGGTTTTGGATACTTTGCTGCTTGTGAAACCTGGAGCTGTTTTAATTTCCAGATATTGACCCTACCTTTTAGCCACCAGGGGGAGGCAGTGTGCTTTCCTCTTTGGGCTCTGAACCCAACTCAGTACTGGCGAGTTTCAAAATGGCTCTCCTGGAAGATGTTAATGGTTATCTTCTGATCAGAGTGATTTTTAAAAGAAACAAGCATGAAACGGGTAGCTACTTAAGACATTTTAAACTCATTTAATTTCTGTCGTGCATTTTGCTTTTTACTAAAAGATACCAGTTGGCTTTTATTTCCTTGAAAAGATGTGTTTTTCTATAAGAGAAGGATCATAATCCTAACCCTGGCACAAAATGGCTGATCATTTCAATTCTCCTTGTATCTAAATTTTATTAAATGTACATGTGAGGTTGAATCCACTTTCACCTAACGGTTAATATTTCCTCAGCTGATAAATAGAATTCATAATTAATAATTTAATTGTTCTATCAAGGGTCTGTTGGGTAGCTATACCATCATAAAATGATTCTAAAGATTCTTTCTCATTCTGAACCTACTACATGCCTGGTACATTATATGCATCATCTCTAAGCTTCACAGCCTTGTCAAGTAGGTGTCATCTTCACTGGACAAATGAAGAAGCTGAAGCATTAAACACTGCTCCAAAGCTGCACAGTCAAGGTTAACTTGGCATTGAAACTTGGCTCTCCTGAGCTCTCTTCTTTACCTATTTTTCAGGACCAAACTACCTGTGAACTACATCGTTTAGTTATTCCACTATTTTCAAAGGATTCGGATTGTTTCCAATTTTCCACTTTTATAAAAGGTGCACTATGCTTCTCTTTCTCTTTTTGGATTGTCATTTGTGATGGCGTTGTTAAGCAGAACAGGTTTTGTATACATCCCT